TCATTTCTGAAAAAAAAATAGTCCACAAAATAAATGGATTAAATATGCAGGCAGTGAATTTATAGATAATACTGATGTTACTTGTGTTGCACTAACCTTTGGTACTTCAGTGGTAGTCCGTCACGTGAGGTCACAGACCTGAGACTGCTTTGTGATTAGTGTGGACGTTACAAAGCATGGCCTTGCTTCTGCAGTGTTTAAAAATTTGAGGTTGGAGAGTTGAAGGAGGAGGTCTTGCTTCTCCAGGAGGAGATTAGGAGGCTGAAGGCCACCTCAATGGTCTGGGAGAGAGTGGAGGTGGCTGGAGTTTGGGGAATGAGGCTTCTAGCCAGCGAAGGTGCAGGTCCTGTCTCTCGCTGTGAGGAGGCTTAGTTGGGGAGGCAGCAACGGCTACCAGCCGTGTAGGTGCAGCCCAGCACCTGCTACAAAGTGGCGAGTAGTTCACAGTAAGGAAGCGCATCAGAGTAAGGAAAAGTTAAGAGTGAAGATCTGAAGGTAGGAAATCGCTTCTCTGTATCTTCAGGATGAAAGTACTTCAGTGCCAGTGAAGGTAAGGGTACTACTGCCCCTGCTAATGGAGGTAAGCGCATTCTTGTGTTGGTGACACTCAGGTAGATACATTGACCGTGCTTTTTGTAATAGGAAAATAAGAAGATGAGAATAGAGTGTGCTTCCCTGGAGCTGGTGTTTGGGGACATTGTCAACAGGCTGGATAATATCATGTCAGGTAATGGAGCAAGCCCATTATCTTCCTCAGTGCTGTGGAAATGGAATTGGGAAGGGTAGGAGAGAAAGCTGCTAGATAAGTACATGTCAGCTATAGATTTCATTAAGTCTAAGGAGGGATCCCAATCCATCTGTAGCATCTTGCCTAGAAGGGGAGTAGGAATGAATGGTTGTCTAGGGCAATTGGGTGTAAATGCTGCTAGACCAGATACTTGCAAGGAACTTGCCAATCCCATTCATTGACAACTGGAAACAACTTTATGGCAAACATGATATGTATTGCAAGGGATGGGGTAACACTCTCTGGGGCCTTGGGGTGGTACACTTCAAGACTCGATTGAGAAGGCCAATGTGGTGGGGGGAAAAATGGCCTATGATTTTAAACTGAATGGAAGATAAGGTATGGGTGTGTGTGGGAAAACAAGCAGTTGCAACACTGGGTTGGAAACAGTAATGTAATAGTAGTCATATACAGACTACATTCCTCCAGCATAAGTTATAAATAAAGACCAATAGATCAGGGTCAGCAAACAAAGAGGGACAGCAGAGGGCAGCAAGGGACTAGCTCCCTTAAGGTCTACTATACTAATTAGCAGGAGTGAATAAATAAGATAGAGTAGCTAAGAGTAATTGCAATGCAGGAAACAGAGATAGTTATTGCTATAACAGAGACCTGGCTCAATCGAAAGATAGAGAGATGCCCTCTGAATGTCACATACAAGGCTATAAATTATTCACACTGACAGGGTCAACAGGAAAGGTGGTGGAAAGTAAGCGATGGATGTCAGAACAATTTATATTTGTTGTGTTAACAAGATATTTAAATTAGTGAAGCGTCAGCCACTGAATCGGTTTGGTTTTACAGCTGTCTCGAGTGACGAGAAAAACTAATTTTGGGTGGATGTACAGGGCCCCAAATCTTGATAGGGAGTCAGTAAACTGTCTATGGGACGAAATTCGTAAGGCATCTACATACGAAAAAATGTTGTGCTAATGGGAGATTTCAACTAAGAAAGATTGACTGGAGCATTTGACAGGAAAAATTTAGAGTCAGTGACTTTCTTGAACGATCCATAGGATTGTTTTTTAAACAGTTTGTGACAGGAGCCAACTAGGGAAATAACCTCCTTGACTTGGTTCTTGCCAGTAGGGAAACACTAATTAATAATCTTGAGTTAATGAATGAGCCTTGGGAAAGGATCACAAATCACTCAGTTTTAATATATCATGGAGAAATTCCCCTAATACTGGCAATCAAGTCTCCGTCCCCTGACCTTTCGCTTGGCCTGATTTCATAGGACTGAAAAATTAACTTAGGTGGGCTGAACTGGAATGACCTGACAAAGGTCCTTTAGGTGGTGATGGTTGCCGATATGAAGCTTTCCAGGGCATAGTTCTAGCTGCTCAGTCAAATTATGTTTCCAAATAGGGAAATCAGATCAAAGCAAAATGATCCTAAATGGATGAACAATAGAATTAAAATATCTGAATTGGTCAAAAGAGGGCATATATAGTCAATCAAAAGAGAGAGGGGCAAATGGGAAATCGATATATTCAGTTAAAGAGAGAAATAAAAAATGGGAATTAAGAAAAGCAAAAAAGAGATTTGAGGTTAAAGTGCAAGAGAATCGAAGACTAACCCAAAAGATTCTTTCAGTATACAGAAGTAAATCAGGGACAAAGATAGGCCCACTCAAAAGGTTCCTCCGGGTCAGCTCACTGACAGTGATAAGGAAATGGTGTAGAATTTTTAACACATACTTCCTCTCAGTTTTTACACAGGAGGATACCAGGCGATATCCAGTAATGATAAATTTATGTAACAGACGAAATAAAATGTGCACTATTAGGGTCAAAAGTGACCTGGTCCTTAGTGCAAATAGATAAATTAAAACCTAACAAATCCCCCAGGCCCTGATGAACTGTATGCAAGGGTTTCTAAATGAATGTAAAGAGGAGCCTAGCACACCTTTGGCTAATCTTTTCAACATATCACTACAACTGGCATGGTGCCAGATAAGTGGAAATGGCAAATGTGATACCTAATTTTCAAAAACAGGTGACAGGATCCTTAGCTTCGAACTAATAGCCTCAATAAGCCTAAACCTCCATAGTGGGGAAAATTAATGGAATCAATTATTGCCGAGGCAGTTCGTAGCCACCTTTGAAAAGCAAAATCTAATCACGAACTCAGCATGTTTACAAAGGGGCGTTCCTGCCTTATAACGAATTTATTAACTTTTTTCACTAAGGTAATTTGAGGAGGTAGATCATGGTAATGAATAGATATTGTGTATAATGGAACTTCAGAAGGCTTTTTGACGGGTCCCACATCAGAGACTATTGAGGAAAATTAATGGCACATGGGAATAGGGGAGAAATTTTTTCCTGGATAGAGGCATGGTTGACAAATAGGCACAGAGAGTTTGCATAAATGGGGGAAAATCAGAGTGGGGAAGTGTCACGAGCGGTGTTCCACAGTGTCAGTTGTTGGGCCCCCTGCTGTTTCACAATCTACATAAACGACATAGATGAGGGCATAAAGAGCGACATCGGCAAGTTTGCCGGAGACAACAAAATAGGCCGTCGAATTTCGCTTTCATGACGAGGACATTCGAGCACATTCCACGAAGATTTGAAAGACTGATGCAGTGGTCGGGAGAGTGGCAGATGCAGTTTAAAATAGACAATGCAAAGTTCTAAATATTGGACCAGGACAATAACCATGCCACATATAAACTAAATAATGTAGATCTTAGTATTACGGATGCGAAAATAAGATTTAGGAGTTCTGGTTAGCAGTAAATCTGAAACCAATACAACAGTGCATAAGTGTTTCGCAATAAAGCAAATAGAATCCTTGGCTTTCATATCAAGAAGCATAAATAATAGGAGTCCTCAGGTTGTTCTTCACTCTATACATCCCTTGGTTAGGCCTCATTTAGATATGCTGCACAGTTTTGTCACCTATTACAGAATGATATAAATTCTCTGGAAAAGTTACAAAGGAGGAAGACAAAGTTATCCCCATGTACAGAAACCTCCTATGAGGATAGACTAAGGGCCATGAATCCTGCACCTCTAGAAAGACGTAGAATTAGGGGGGATAAGATTGCTGGTGCTTATAAATGGAAGACAGGAATAAATAAAGGGGATGTAAATAGTAGTGCTGAAAATACTAGCCTAGACAGGACTCGCAGCAATGGTTTTAAGTTGGAAAAATTCAGATTCAGAAGATATAGGAAAGTACTGGTTTGGTAATAGAGTATGGATGAGTGGAACAAACTCCCAATTACCGTTATAGAGGCCAGAACGTTGTGTAGCTTTAAAAATAGGTTGGATAAATACATGAGTGGATGTGGGTGGGTGTGAGTTGACCTGATAGCTTGTGCTACCAGGTCGGTTGCCGTGTTCCTCCCTTAAGTCAATGTGACCTGACCCGACTAGGTTGGGTGCATTGGCTTAAGCCGGTAGGAGACTTGGACCTGCCTCGCATGGGCCAGTAGGCCTTCTGCAGTGTTCCTTCGTTCTTATGTTCTTATGTTCTTAACCTCTTTTGTCTCCCATTGGATGTAATTTTCCTGACGTGATCTTAGTTCCAGGTTTGACTCGTGTTTGCCACAAGCTTAACTGGATAATATCTATAAAGCAAATCATATAATGATAATATTTCAACTGTCGGTTGATAATATATGTTATTGCTTAATGCATGAAAAGTAAAACTCAAGTAAAATATTACTAGGCATGTGAGGATCACTAAATACATAAGTATAATAAATTCTGGTCAGTGACACAAATAAAACCACATGAAAGGACAGATGGAAACGAGACGTCTTAAAGTGCATAAACTTGTGTTCTTTTATCCATAATGTCGGTATCACAATACTTTCTGTCTTCAATATAACATGTAAATAAATAACAAAAAGGCACAATACCGTGACTGGAACGATACACAAATAACCCGCACATAAAAGAGAGAAGCTTACGACGACGTTTCGGTCCGACTTGGACCATTGACAAAGTCACACAGAGAGAAGCTTACGACGACGTTTCGGTCCGACTTGGACCATTGACAAAGTCACACTGTAAACAATGCAACAGATGAGCACTGTACTTCTTTCTCACACTTCTGAAGTGGCTTTAATGTGAAGATTTGATAATAAAGATATAAATTACAAATGAAAGAGCTATTTATGGAGGCGTGGCCTTTGTAGGTTCACCGCTTTTTTTTATTATAATTATAATAATGTGGAGACGTGATTTGTTTGTAACAGGTGGTGCTGGCGCTGGGAGAAGCTCTCAACTTCACTGCAGTCTTCTCCAGTCCAGGACCTGACATGTGGGGGGCGCTGCTCCCCAATGGTACCTACACCGGCATGGTCGGTAAGATACGCTGGTAACCAGGACGAGTGAGTACTTAAAAGTACTCTACTGCACTACAAACTTGTAATGACTGTGTTTTTTCCCCTCGAATGTTTGATGATACCTTTACGATATTTTCTTTACCTTAATGATGCAATTACTCGGTATTTCAGTCTTGAGGCGTCACAATTGTTTATGCAAATTAGAACATTCACTTCCATAATTATATTCTGTACAATATTTACTTCACGTTCAGAGATTTGTTTTACTGTGTAACAAGTCACCCGTTCAGGCCAAGTACACCGGGATGAGGCTGAGATGGGCGTGGGTAACGTGTTCCTGACGGAGGAACGAGCCAGGTTCATCACCTTCTCTGCGCCCTTCGACTTCGAAAGAGCTTGTTTCATAACGCCGGCGCCCCGTCCCTTGCCAGCCTGGATGGCTCTATCCTTCCCCTTCACCACACACGTCTGGATCCTGCTCTTGGGTTAGGACCTTCAGAGTCCCTTGATACCGTCACTTAATTAAGCTCCTAGTTAAAAAAATATTGTATTTTTTTTTAAATTTTTTTCTGCGGGCGTTCTAATAACAGTTTTTTTTAACTTTCTCTCGGTCATTTTACATTGTTGTATGAATGAGATTCTGGGCTGCAGTTTAAGATCTTATTCACTGCCCCCTTTATTCTAATGTCATACTGTGGTTATAACCTTAATTTTTAAAGGGGATAGGCCGGTAAGCCAGTGGAAGGCCTCGAATAGATGTCCAAAAGATCCTACTGTGGGTCATCATATGACTAAGACCTGCATCAGGAGACACTTGTCCTGTTAAATAACAAAAAAAAAAAGGCATAATACCGTGACTGGAACGATACACAAATAACCCGCACATTTATTTATTTATTTATTTATTTCCAATTTGAGCACACATACAGAGGTACAAAAAAATACAGATAAGAGCAGTATGCCAAAGCCACTTATACTATGCATAGCATTACGGGCTGGCTTAAAATTAACTTAAGATTAACTAAGCAATGATTATTATTATTATTATAATCAAAAAGAAGCGCTAAGCCACAAGGACTATACAGCGCTGCTACTAAGCAATGATGAAATCAGTGATAAAACATTAATGTAAACAGATAACTATAAAGCACAAGTGAGTATTACAAAGACAGGTCATATGGTTGCATTCAGTTAGGTAGTGATTCTGTTAGGTAGTGTATTTAAAAAATAATAAAGTTAGATTGGGTTTTAGGTTTAACATTTATGTGATATAATTGTGAGAAACATTTAAGATATACAATTTATAAATGTTCAGTTATTCAGTATTTATTTGGTTTTGGGTGAGTAAGTATCTTTGAGAAGAGACTTGAATTTATAAACAGGTTGTGTTTCTTTTATATTTACAGGTAATGAATTCCAGATTTTAGGGCCTTTTATGTGCATTGAGTTTTTGCATAGCGTGAGATGGACACGAGGAACATCAAAGAGTGATCTGTGCCTTGTGTTATGGTCATGTGTTCTGTTGAGGTTGGCAAGGAGATGTTTGAGGGGAGGGTTAATATCAGAGTTAAGTGTTCTATGTATGTAATAGGTGCAGTAATAAGTATGGATGTTTTGTATGGTGAGTAGGTTTAGTGTATTGAATATTGGTGGAGTGTGCTGCCTGTAGTGAGAATTTGTTATCATTCTAACTGCAGCCTTTTGTTGGGTAATTAGTGGTCTGAGATGGTTAATTGTGTTGAGCCCATGCAAAAATTTTCCATAGGTGAGATAGGGGTAAATAAGAGAGTGATATAGGGCCGGGGGGCTGACTGTGGAACATAGTACCTTTATCTTCGATAGTATGCCTACGTCTTGGAAATTTTTCTTAGAAATTTAAATGTATATGTGTATGAAATTTGAGTCTATTATCAAGGTGGATTCCAAAGAATTTTTCCCTCTGTTAGTTTTGTGATAGGTGATCCATTATCATTATGTTAAGAGGGACATTGTAGCTCTGTTACCAAATTGAATGAAGTGGGTTTTTTGTCAATGTTTTAGTTTTAAGTTTGTTATTTCCTCATCCGGGGAAAATATTTTCTGTAATTCGGTATTACAGTATTGGCTAGCGTGACTGGGCTCGGGTGAGAGAAGACGTATGTAGTGTCATCTGCAAATAGTGTGGGTTTGAGTAAATTGCGAAGCATTTGGAAGGTTTCATTTATGTATAGGAGAAGAGAAGAGGGCCAAGGACACTTCCCTGTGGGACACCAACTGTAATTGGTTGTGCAGAAGAGTTTGCCCCATTTGCGTACACATATTGGCTTCTGTTGCTGAGGTAAGACTTGAGGTAGTTGAGGGAGTGCCCTCTTATACCATTACCTGGAGAGAGTTTACCTGGAGAGAGTTTCGGGGGTCAACGCCCCCGCGGCCCGGTCTGTGACCAGGCCTCCTTGGTGGATCAGCGCCTGATAAACCCAGGCTGTTGATGCTGGCTGCACGCAAACCAACGTACGAGCCACAGCCCGGCTGATCAGGAACTGACTTTAGGTGCTTGTCCAGTGCCAGCTTGAAGACTGCCAGGGGTCTGTTGGTAATCCCCCTTATGTGTGCTGGGAGGCAGTTGAACAGTCTCGGTCCCCTGACACTTATTGTATGGTTCTCTTAACGTGCTAGTGACACCCCTGCTTTTCATTGGGGGGATGGTGCATCGTCCTGCCAAGTCTTTTGCTTTCGTAGTGATGTTTTTCGTGTGCAAGGTTCGGTACTAGTCCCTCTAGGATTTTCCAGGTGTATATAATCATGTATCTCTCCCTCCTGCGTTCCAGGGAATACAGGTTTAGAAACCTAAAGGGCCGCTCCCAGTAATTGAGGTGTTTTATCTCCGTTATGCGCGCCGTGAAAGTTCTCTGTACATTTTCTAGGTCGGAAATTTCACCTGCCTTGAAAGGTGCTGTTTAGAGTGCAGCAATATTCCAGCCTAGATAGAACAAGTGACCTGAAGAGTGTCATCATGGGCTTGGCCCTCCCTATTTTTGAAGGTTCTCATTATCCATCCTGTCATTTTTCTAGCAGATGGGATTGATACAATGTTATGGTCCTTGAAGGTGAGATCCTCCGACATAATCACTCCCAGGTTTTTGACGTTGGTGTTTCGCTCTTTTTTGTGGCCAGAATTTGTTTTGTACTCTGATGAAGATTTAATTTCCTCATGTTTACCATATCTGAGTAATTGAAATTCTCATCGTTGAACTTCATTATTGTTTTTCTGCAGCCCACTGAAAGATTTGGTTGATGCCCCGCCTGGAGCCTTGCAGTGTCTGCAAGGGAAAGACACTGTCATGCAGATTCGGGTGTCATCTGCAAAGGAAGACACGGTGCTGTGGCTGACATCCTTGTCTATGTCGGATATGAGGATGAGGAAAAAGATGGGAGCTAGTACTGTGCCTTGTGGAACAGAGCTTTTCACCTTTAGCTGCCTCGGACTTTACTCTGTTGAACGACTACTCTCTGTGTTCTGTTAGTGAGGAAATTATAGATCCATCGACCAACTTTTCCTGTTATTCCTTTAGCGCGCATTTTGTGCGCTATTACCCCCATGGTCACACTTGTCGAAGGCTTTTTGCAAAGTCTGTATATATTACATTCTGCATTCTTTTTGTCTTCTAGTGCATTTAGGACCTTGTCGTAGTGATCCAGTAGTTGAGACAAGACAGGGGGCGACCTGTTCTAACCCATGTTGCCCGGGGTTGTGTAACTGATGGGTTTCTAGATGGGGTGGTGATCTTTGCTTCTTAGGACCCTTTCAAAGATTTTTATGATATGGGATGTTAGTGCTTTTGGTCTGTAGTTCTTTGCTGTTGCTTTACTGCCCCCTTTGTGGAGTGGGGCTATGTCTGTTGTTTTTAGTAACTGAGGGACGACCCCCGTGTCCATGCTCCCTCTCCATAGGATGGAAAAGGCTCGTGATGGGGGGCTTCTTGCAGTTCTTGATGAACACAGAGTTCCATGATCTGGCCCTGGGGCAGAGTCCCATGGGATTTTCATTTATCGCCTGTTTCGAAGTCATTTGGCGTCAGGATAACATCGGATAGGCTTGTGTTAATCAAATTTTGTGGCTTCTCATAAAAAATTCATTTGATCTTCGACTCTCAGTCTGGTTAGCGGCTTGCTAAAAACTGAGTCATATTGGACTTGAGTAGCTCATTTCATTTCCTTGCTGTCATCTGTGTAGGGACCCATCTTGTTTAAGTAGGGGCCCAATACTGGAGGGTTTGTTCTCGATTTTGATTTGGCATAGGAGAAGAAATACTTTGGGTTTCTTTCGATTTCATTTATGGCTTTTAGTTCTTCCCGCGATTCCTGACTCCTAAAGGATTCTTTTAGCTTTAAGTTCGATGCTTGCTATTTCTCTGACCAGTGTCTCCTGCTCATTTTGATATATTGACCTCTTTTAGCCGCTCTGTTATTCTTTTCCGTCGCCTGTAAAGGGAGCCCCTTTGTCTCTTTCTATTTTACATCTATTTCCTCCTTTTTCTTAGAGGAAAAAAGCCTTGTGCATACATCGAGTGCCCCCGAGTTAATCTGTTCTAGGCATAAGTTTGGGTCTGTGTTGCTTAGTATAATCTCCCAGCTTATATCGGTTAGGACTTGGTTTACTTGGTCCCACTTTATGTTTTTTTTTATTTAAGTTGAATTTGGTGAATGCTCCCTCGTGACTAGTCTCATTTTGTCGGTCTGGGGTCCAAAGCATACATGTCTTTAACCCCAATTTGTTGTGATCTGAGTTATTGTTTTTGATATGGTGAAATTTCTTATCAGATCATCATTGTTTATGAAGATGAGGTCTAGTGTATTCTCCAGTCTAGTAGGCTCTATTATTTGCTGGTTTAAATTGAATTTTGTGCAGAGATTTAAAGCTCGTGTGGTGTGAGTTTTCATCAGAGCTGCCTCCTGGGGTTTTTACTGCAACAATATTTTTTTGCTATATTCCTCCATTTTAGGTGCCTTAAGTTGAAATCCCCCAGGAGCAAGATTTTTGGGTGCAGGAGCTGGAAGTTTTCAGACAGTGGTCAATTTTTAACAGCTGTTCCTGGAATTGCTGGGATGTTGCATCCCGGGGGCTTGTAGACTACCACAATGACTAGGTTTTGGTTTTCGACCTTTACTGCTAAAACTTCCACTACGTCATTTGAGGCATTAAGCAGTTCTGTGCAAACAAGTGACTCTGCAATGTACAGGCCAACCCCCCCTTTTGCCTGTTCACTTTTGTCCACTCTGTATAGGTTGTAAAATGGGATCCATATTTCGTTGTCCAAGTGATCCTTTATGTGGGTCTCAGTGGGAAAACCCCGAACATTGCCTTTGCCTCTGCAAGCAGTCCACGGATGAAAGGTATTTTGTTTTTTTTATTGCTGGCTTTTGACCCTGTATATTTGCAAAAAAAGAATGTTATCGGAGCTGGTGTATTGTTGGTACTGGGGGGGGATTTTTTTTTCCGGCATTA